AAGAAACGGGGTACAAGGGGGAAGTCGTGGAATGTACTCCAGGTCTTTGCTTTTTGTATTTTCCCACCTAAAGCTACTTCTGTCTTCGATGGGTACTCTACATGTCTAAAGTGCTCTAATGCCAAGGAAAAATCTATGCAGAAATGTCATAGAATCATAGAATCACTAGGTTGGAAGAGACCTCTAAGATCATCAAGTCCAACCATCTACCTAATACCCCCATGCCCGCTAAACCGTGCCTAGAGACGCTACATCGACACATTTTTTGAACACTTGCAGGGATGGGGACTCCACCGCTTCCCTGGGCGAAAAAGTCTGTGCAGATTAGCACAGAGGAGTCTCCCACGGCTCTACCAATGAGACTTTGGTCCTTGATGAGTCAGTTGCTGAACTTCTGTTCAACGCACAGGACTAAAGTAAAAGATTTATGTCTATACAGGAACACTTTGCTATTAATTACATTTCTTTACACAAAACCCAATTATTCAAGCTGTGATTTGGCTTTTTAGTATAAAGGTCTAAATTCCGGACTTAATGTGAACAGCATCCATGAACATGGGTAGAAAAATAGCTGCCAAGTGGAGGTCACCCTCATGTCATAGAGTCACAGAAGGGTATGGGTTGGAAGGGACCTTAAAGATCATCTAGTTCCAACCCACTGCCATAGGCAGGGACACCTCCCACTAGACCAGGTTGCTCAAAGCCCCATCCAACCTGGCCTTGATGTCAGCTGCGGTGAGGTGACAGTACTCAGGTTCTCCAGCTGGAAAAAATAAAGGAGAGAGTAACTGGAGTAAATCCAGTGATCCTATGGATTGATTGTTGCCAATCCAGTGCTTCCTACATCAAACAAAATGAAGGCAAAATGGGGATCATAAATAAAACTTGAGAAGGTAGAAAGGTGAGGCAGCTTACCTATGATTTCAAGTAAATGTCATTGCAGTTGAGACTTGGCTCTTGATTATTGGGAACAGCTGCTGGGGACTGAGAGAGATGGAGACAAGCGATGGCAAAAATAGCCTCTAATAAGCTGAGGGAGTCTATAAGGGAATTACAGTTTACATTTAATCTTCAGTCCATGGAGCAGAAGGTAACCCTGGCTGCTGAAAACAAGTCTTACAAGAACCTGTAAAAGAGCTGAGAATTACAGAAACATTAAAGAACGCGTGAAAACAAAGTTTTCACCACTCTCCCAGCAGAAACATATGTTCCCCTATTGTATCAGATACGTTTCTGTGAAAGCTGTTGTTAAAACGTCAGGGTGCCCGACTTCTGCTGTTGACAAATTAACCTCTCTGTGTGCTTGCTGGCAGCTCTCTGCTTGGACCCAGGTTTGTCAAACAGCACAACGCACATTGTGAGCGTCACCATTAACGGAGATGAGGCTGAGAATACAAGACCTAAGCAAAAGCTTGGTGAGTTTTGTACCATCTATTTGAAAAATCTGAGAAGATAACGAAGGAATGGGTTTAAAAGAACTACCCCTACCACTGCAGCTCTTCTGTCCCAGCTGATTCAGATGCTGTATGTCCTTCAAATCATATCCTGCAGTCTAGATAAGCAGAGTCGCGTTTCTTTGCTGAATTCACTGGGGAGGCCTAGGTGTTACGCGTCACCTGTTGGCACACCCAGCATGGGAAACGTAGGTGCCGAACTTCAGTGAGGGCCACCAGCACTTGTGTACCAAGATATTCCTCTTAGTTGTAGTTTGACCCTGGAAGTAACTACAGCGTCACTCACAATCAGTCAGCTATCAAAATGCTTTTTAGTTGTAAACTCTAGTGTATTTCAAAACCCTTAACTTACTGCTGTTTTGGGTTTTTTACTTGCAGATGATGGAGGTACGTTACGCAGCTGCGCTCACAGTGACAGTAAGGTCAAGTGGGATCTCCGTACGGCACGTTTTACTTAGAAAAATGTCAGTTAAAACTGTTTTTTATCTGGGCTTGGTTAATCTCCTGACCCTAATCAAACATGCATGAGAGTGGCCTCACCTAGACACAAAAATTCCTGTGGGGCATTATCACATCGGTTATCTCAAGTATTGCACCTGTAGCACCAGTATCTCGGGAAATACAAATTACTGACTCCACAACAGCTGTAGATCAAGTCCCAAAGACAACTCATTCAGATAGACAGGGGAGGTGTATAAACCTTTTGTCCCTGTGCTCTTCTGGTCTTCAAACGCATCTACCATCCATTACTGCACCAGGATAAGCCAAACAAAAGTCCACTTGAACAGTGTATTGTCCATGCTCAGAAGGGAGAAGGTCTCCTTTCAGAAGGTTCCTTATCCTCCACAGCTGTAGCTACGCTGTTTTTCCCAGCTTTTACCCAGTTTCTTTCTGCCAAACTTATTTTTTTAATGACCCCGGTCACTGCCTTGCCCCTGCGATCGGCCTTTTTGTGACATATGAAGGCTCACAGCTTTTGGATGGCGATAGGCATGAAGTCACTTTGTTTCCCTTTCTAAATGGTAAGAAACTGGACACACTGAGGTAACTTCCTCTGCTGCTCACTAACTTAAAGGTGCGTTTAATTTTTTCTTCTCTCCTAGAATTTGTGGAAGTTATTTCACTTCCAAAGAACGACCTACTGCAAAGAATTGATGGTAAGAGCTTTCTGACTAATGCACTAACGCCAGCTTCAAGGAACCCTTAGCTTCTCTTCTCATAGCTCCTCAGGGCGTTTCTCATCCTAGAACACTGGATCTTAAACAAAAAGCTGTGAGAGACTTGGCCAGGTAACAGAGTTATGACAGCATTAGGTGCTAGCATGAAGAATTCATGGCTGGATGCTATACCTTTTAGTAAAGGACTTAAATTTCTGTAGAGGAGAAGTTTTAACACCATCTCATAATTGTTTCTGTTTATTTTCAGAACTCATAGCAGAAGAACATATTGCAGTGGATGCCAGGGTTTATACTTACGCATTGGCCCTGAAGCGTGCAGCAGAAAAACCGCTCCAAGTTCCTTTTATGAAGTTCTAAAAGTAGATGATGAGAAATTTAGATGAAAACTGCCCCGCTCAGATGGCTTAGAAGTATAACTCTTCTTGTACTAAAGGTCCTTTACTTGTAGAGCAAACGAAAGTATTTGTAGGAGTGATTCTGACATTTTTATCTGGAGTGATGTAACTGACAAAAAGCATTCCAGCTAACTGCTCGGTCTGTTAAGCCTTGACAGAATAATCGTAATAAAAATGCCGTTTAATTTGCAGAATGGCTGCTTTCTTACTGTGTTCATCACTGCACTGGTGTTTCAGTACAAGGACGACACTTCAGTAACTGTAACTGCGGTTGGTGACGCGCCCCCACCACCTGTTCAAAGCGAGGAAGAGGCAGGAAGACGCGCTCCTGCCTTGTCCACGCGCACCAGCAGCATCGGTTCAACAAGTCCAGCTCCTCCTCTGCAGCGGGCGCAGGGACAGCAGCACAGGCACGCAGCGTGCGTGCTCAACTGCAGCGTGCTCAACTGCAGTTTCAGGAACCTCCTTTTATGATTTAGACCTGGAGATGCTGCTTCTGCTCCCAGCACTTACTAAACTATCTGGAAAGAGAAACGGGGTCGGTTTGATCTAAGAACAGACCGACGCTGACAACGATGATGACAGTAACAACAAAACAGCCACCGGTGCAAATCGGAACAGCGTAGGCCCCAGCCAGAGGGTTCTGTTTAAGGTATGAGCTGACTTACATGCCCCGAGATTACACAGCCCTGAGTCCTCCATCTCCCTAGGACACACCACATACCCAGGTGGCACCTTCTCATCACTTCTAGGGAAATCTTGTTGCCAAACAAACCTTCAGTGTATTTGCGCAGAGCTGACTGCTGCTAATTAGGCAGACAACGGCCACCGCCGAAAGGTGAGGATCTAAGAGTTGCAATAAACCTACGCTAGTATCAGCTTCTGGCCTCGGGAGTGACTTTGGACAGGAAGGCATCATCAGGAAGGCTTTCCTTGCTCAGAAAACTTGCCTAAGATTTTCTTTTACCTTCACAGACAACACAAAGTTACTTTCAAGTTAAGCATGAGAGAAGACAGAAGAGATCAAAATGTGAAATCAAAGGGAAAAAGTCACTGATTACAGCTGAGCAGAAAAGCTCAACAGTTTTAAGGGGAGGAATCTCGAGATTTGTTTTTTTAATTAAGGCTGCTAGAAACTGATTAGAATTATATTCTAGAAAGAATAAAGAGAAAAAAAGGGAGCCTTCCAGACCTGCCTCACTAACAAAGCGTGATAGAAATGATCAAAAACTGCACATGAATTACATCTTGCACAGAGAAGACACAGGAGAGAGCTTAATTAAATAAGTTTATTGTCTAACGTTTACAGTTGTTACATTGCCGCTGCAAAGTGCGACAACATAAATAGATTTTCAGC